TTAGAGAATAGTTAAATCATGGATAGCTGTGCTCTGTGAACCCGGGTTATAGAACTGTTAAATCATGGCTGTGGCCCCTGAACCTGGGTTAGAGACCAGTTAAATCACGGCTGTGGCCCCTGAACCTGGGTTAGAGACCAGTTAAATCACGGCTGTGGCCCCTGAACCCAGGTTAGAGACTAGTTAAATCATGGCTGTGGCAGAGACTCCCTTGTTCTGATGCTTGCTGGAGACAGAAGTTGGGAGAGGCTAAAGTAACTGATTGAAGATCACAATGCTAGAAATTCTCTAACTTGTTAGTCCCAGTCTATATTTACATACTCAGGATTTATGCTTTTTACAACTATGCTATGTCATTTCTTCTTCTCTGATTCACCATTAAACAAAGACTTAGCCACAAATCCTGGGGGTGGGGAGACAACCAAAACTTCCCTTTACATGATAAAAGTTATCAAAAATCAATAACTCAATGATCAGTTAAAACATCTTGAACAAAGAACTTCTGATCACTTTGCCTTTGCTGTGGTGGTGAGATAGACTATGCTTTTGTGGGTAGATTTCAGTGTTTTATGTAAACAGTATTTAGTCCTATCCTTTTTCTGATAGAGTCTATTTTAAAACGTGTACCCAATCCACACTATATTTAATAAATAAATAGTTTCCAATTAATTGATTTTAAGATTAATATTTGATGTGCTTGAGTTGCCTTGAGGATGTCAGTATGTAGTGAATGTTTATGCAACACTTAAGGAAAAAAGAACTTTGCCAAGCAGTTTGATCAATAAAGGTGACTGATATAAATAATATAATTCTTAGATTTTAGGATTGTGTATGTATTTTGGACTTGTGGTAAGAAAAAAAAAGCAGAGAAAGAGGGTTTAATTAATCACTATTGGCCACTTACACAGTTTAGATTAGAAATTGCTACAGTTTTTCCATTTAGAGGGACAACTTATTTTTCTTCCTCAATCTCATAAAAGAGAAAGAAAGTGGAACATGCTGTTTCTTCAGGGCGAGTCCTGTTTATAAAAAGGCCTTTCCAAGTTCCTCTCCCCAGACTAGACAGCATAGTCATTTCTCCGTTACCTTACAACCTTGAACTTCTCATCTTACAATACTCGCTGCATTTGTCTGACTTTAATCTTCTTCAGACATTCCACGAGGTAAGGTCCCTGTCTTATCCATCCCTTATTTCCTCCTCAGATCTTACCATTTGTGTTCAGTATAACAGCCATTTGCAGACATTTAGGGAGAAAATTTTGAGAAAGAATTTGGCCAATTGAAATGATTGCTGTATCTATACTATATCTAAATATTTCCTTCTGTGTGCCTTGTGTGTATTTGTTGGAAGTACAAAGAAAGTCAGTCAACAAGTTTGTTTTTTTGGTTTTTTGTTTTAGAGATAGAGTCTCACTTTATTGCCCTTGGTCAAGTTCGGTGGCATCACAGCTCACAGCAACCTCTAACTCCTGGGCTTAGGTGATTCTCTTGCCTCAGCCTCCCGAGTAGTGGGGACTACAGGCACCTGCCACAACGCCCAGCTATTTTTTTTTTTTTTGCAGTTTGGCCGGGGCCAGGTTTGAACCCACCACCCTCAGTATATTGGGTCAGTGCCCTACTCACTGAGCCACAGGCACTGCCCCATCAAAGGAATCAACAAATATTTTTAAATAAACTTATTGGAAGAATGAACAGATGCATGATTTCCAGAATATAAAGGGAAAGAAGGTCTAAAAATATGCATTCATTTGTGGTCTGTAATAATTGGTTTAAGAAACTTGTAGGCCTTTGGCTTGAATTTGTTGAAATGATTCATAAATGTCTCCTACCTTAGTGCTTTAAATTACACTATTATTTTCTGAAATCAGAGAAATAGTGTGGCCCCTCATGGGCACTAGCTGTGACCAACACTGCCAATGTAGAGGGTGGCGTACCATCCAAATAGTAATCATCACATTTATATGTTTGGATATTGTGGAATCATGGCTTTTTTCTCTCTGAAGAACTGGCCTCAAACCAACATGATACTTGGGTTCTTCTGCTAATTTTGTTACCATTATTGTTACCAAATAGTTTTATGAACAATGAGAAAGAACTTTAACTGTAGCACAGTTTTCCAGTATAGCAGCATAACTAATTTTTGGATGGTTTAATATAGAACATATGATGGATTTTCCAGGCTTTGAATATGATCTGCTTTTTATATTGTTACCCTGGGAGATAGATCTACAGATGCTGATGGTGGAGGGGTCTTTCTTTCACTGCTGTTGCATATTGCGAGGGAGAAGCCCAGTGTTTTCGGCGCCCTCGCTGCCCGTACAGCTGCAGATAATTAACACTATTTCTAGATCCGTGTTTCTGGCCCCAGTCAGTGCTGCTGATATTAAAAGAAAAAGTTTCAGCACAATAGGCTATAGTAAGGTTGAAGAAGTCGTTGTAGGACAGGACTAACTATGTTAATTTCTGCTTCATTTACACCTAAGGATGAAAAAAAAATCAATAAGGAAATGCCTTTTGCCTCCTTAGAAGGCATTAGATAGAAAATGATGAAACTAATTTAAGTGTTATGTATCAGAAATAGATATCAAAAGAAATTCATTCCTGAAACTCCTTCATTTTAATTATGCACTCTAGAGATTCCTGGTTTACAATGATTATCTTGAATGAAATGCCTGTATTTGTTTATGTGGTTATTAATTGCATCACTGGTATTTGTGTTTCTGTTGTTCTAACATTGAAATATTTAAGATGAGGAGACTCAATCACAGGGCCTAAGTTAGAGTCCCCCAGATGTTGGTTGAACTAAAATGAACTTATCCTAACTATTTTAAGGCAATGCTTCTGTACTTATGAAAGATTTAATGTCTGTAGAATGTAAATGTGTTGGTAGTGTCCTCAGAGAGAATGAAACTGTTTCACACTTAACTTAGGCAAAGCTCTTTACTGAGTGGCTTCCACTGGTTTAGCTTTGACAACAA